CAGTAGACAGGTGGCCACATACGGTTATTTCTCAAGAGAGAGACTTCAGAGCTAGAGACTCAGAGATAGGATCGTCTAGGGTAAATGGATGCCAAAATACTTAAACCTCAGGGTGCAGGAAGAATAAAAAACCTTCAAGGGAGTTATGAAGTTACAATCAGATAGCTAAGAGGAAAACCTGAAAAGACCAAGTCACTAAAGCTGGAGAATGTTTCAAGAAGCAGTAGACTGATGATATAGCTCAGGGGTACAGCACATGTCTGAAATGCACAAGACCCAGAGTTTAATTTCCTGCACCCAAAACAAAACAAAACAAAGGAAAAAGCCATGAGTGAGCAACACCATCAAATGCTACAAAGAAATCAAGTAGATAACAATTTACACAACAGCCATTGCATTTAGCCAGAGAAGGATTACACTGACCTTAGAAAGCATTGCACTGTGACTTTGGAGTGTCACCCACTGAAGCTAGACGTGAGTTAGGGAGCACACAGAAATTACAAGAGGGTCAAAAATGAATGCAGAGAACTGTTTCGAAGTTTGGCTTTCAAAGGAAGATGAGTGATGGAACCAAAATGAGACCCAAGACTAAAAGAAGTCTGGAGGTGAGTGTGTGTTATTTGACTGGTTAATGTAGCTTCACAGTCAAGATGATGTGAAAAGGTCAGGGAGAGGACACAGGCAAGAAAGCATTTTTTGAAAAACTGGAGGGGACATGCCAAGAAGGCAAGCAGGAAGGGACCCTAGAGGACATGATGGAAGAACTGGGGTGAGGAAGGAGAAAGGATAGCTTTCCTGGGGAACTGCAGAGGAGGAATGATGGATGTAGTTGCCAACAGTGTTACAGATAGGAGGGCAGGTAGTTAAGAAGCTCCTCCCATAAACCTGATCCGCTGGCAGAAATGAGAGGCATAGTATTGTGGTAATCTCAAAAAGCAATCATGAAACCCAGACTTTTCCAACACTGGGGGAATAAAAATCAAGAAAACAGAAAAATAGGGGAATGTTTCACATTAAAAGAGACTTAACAGACATTATTCTAAAAAAGTTAAAGAGCAATCAGGGAAATGTAAAAACTACCTGTATATCTAATGACAGGTAACTGTTTATGCTTAGATAATGCTAATGTGGTTAATTTTTAAACATTCTTTTGTTTGACTACACAAATAATATAATATTAAGTATTTAAAATAATTGGAATAATTTGCTTTAAAATAACTTAGATGTGAAACAAAAACCATAAATGAAACAAAATGATCATAAGCTAAGTGATAGTGATATAGGGGAATGAAATTCCCAACCTACTATGTCTGGTATGAGTTCGTGTTCTCTAAAATCAAAGAATGAATTTTAGGAACCACAGAGGTTAAGAGCAGAATACATTTATTGAAAGAAAGAAAGTTTCTGCCTGAGAGAGACAGAAGGGGTCCCGAGCAGGTTGCCAAGGACTCTGTCTTTTCCCAGGGACTTTTATAGAGTAAAATCACGAAGTTAGATGGGTCAAAGGTGAGGAGAAATGGGAATCTGCAAGGTGGGCATAAGGCAGGTCAGAACTGTGGTCAACCAATAAGATTAATTGCTCAGATAAAATTGATTAAATTAGGAGCAAATGGGGGAACCAGTCACCTAGTAAGCAGTCATGCTTAACAGCAGGGACTTTTCCTGTTGAGGGGTAAGATGCTGACTCCTGACTTTCTCAGAGTATGGAAGAAGTATTTGGACTGTGGATCCTTAGGATGCAATTTTATTTGTTTTGCCTTTTGTCTTGAGATCTGGCCCACAGCAGGTGATTATCTCTTCCAAGGCTGCAAGTGAACGTCTGCTGTCTCCTTTGAGGGCCCAGCCCTGTCTGACTGCCTATAATATTTCCAAATAACTCAGCTGCCTGTGACAATAGGTATATGGAAGTTTATGATACTATTGTATAGATTTTTGTGTGTTTATATTTTTCCATAATCAAAGAATCTTTAACTGAAAATATACCTTAAAAACAAGACAGTGGTAGAGACTGAAGAAACAGCTTAAGACCAATGGAAAGACTGCTCATCAGCTTTTAATCATGGCTAAAATTGAAAGCAGTAAGTTTGCTTTGACAATGTGGAGTGGCTTTTTCTGAGCATCATTGATGTTGATGTGAGAAAGGAGGATTTGCATAGACACAGGGAAGGATCTAGAAGGATGTGACAGGAGGAGAAGGTGAAAGGGATGGGTTAGAATTGACTAGAGAAAAATTGAAACAGTAAGCAATTAACTTGCCCAGACTGGATGGGATGAAGTAACTGATACGCTAAGAAAGAAAGAAGAAATGAAGTTCCAAAGAAACTGCATGGCTGGAATGTGGGAGGAGAAAGCTGCAGGGATGGGCAGCTGTGATGGGCAAGCCAGTCACTGGAGTTTAGCTCTCGGTTCTGGGATGACAAGGTCAAGTGTAATCATACATGCCTAAGCAGTGCCTATATAAAGGATGGCTGCAGTGAAATAGAAACCAAAGTCAAATGGAATTAAGAAAGTGACAAAATTGCAAAGTTTGGATTGTAGATGGGTCCTAATGTTACCCTAAAGAACCAGCCTGTTGAGGCTAGCTCATCAGTTCCAAAGAGACAAATTTTGTTTTGTTCCTTCCCTTTCCCTCCCTCCCTCTGTCTCTGTCTTTATCTGTGTATGTGTGTGTGTGTGTGTGTGTGTGTGTGTTTCTCTCTATCTCTCTGTATGTCTCCTTGTCTATCTTTCTCAGTCTCTTTGTCTTTCTCTCTGCCACACACACACTCACACACACACACACTCAGAATTTCTATAGTATAGAACCTAGCACAGGAACATGCTTCCAAAATGATTTTTTAGTTTGAATCGTGATGGAAGAACTGCATCACTAAGTTTCGTTTTGATTTGTTTTGTTTTGTTTTGTTTTGTTTTATGTACCAGGAATCAAATTCAAGACCTGGCGCTTGTCAGGCAGGCGCTGCACCGCTGAGCTATAAACCCCATCTGTGTCCCACTAATTCATGAACAGCAAGTTTTAAGGTTCCACTCACCACTGGATAATGATTCATTGGGTGTGGGAGGACAACATGGAGGGAACAAATGAATGAATGAAAGTAGGATTCAGAGAGTAAAGCAGTTTAAAGGAATTAAGAGTAGAATCTATTAGAAAAACTCTTGAGTTCACCTTCACGGTCCTTTACACCTGAAGGAGTGTGCAAGCTGTGATGGGTTAATAACTGTCTCAGAGTACGAGAGGCACTTCAAGGGCTGGAAAAACAAGGGAAGATTGTTTGCCTGAGGCCTTGCCTGGGTGCTGTTGTGCTAGAAGCTCAGCCAAGTCTAAGTGGGAGTGTTTCAGATCACCCCAGCTTGAGGTCATCTCCGGTTCAGAAACCAGTGGGCAGGACAGGAATCCCAGCTTCTGAGAACTCCTTTAAACCCTCTACTTGAAGAGAACAAGCACCTTGCCATACCACTCTCTGTTTCTCCAGGAGTCTCACAGAGAAATTTGCATTTTTAAGAATATAGTCAGATCTTAAAACTTGCAATATCAACTTTCACTGATCATTGTTTCATATATTCAATAAATATTCCTCATCTAGTAGAGGCTTCTCCTCATCTCCCCAGATGAATTCTTCAGAAAGTTTATATGAGAAAAAAATAGGTCAAAGAGAAGCAGTGATTTAGGGCATAAAATAAACCCTTAAAATTAAAACAACAACAGCAAAAACACTTCACACTATGAGGTTACACATAAAATTGTTTTTAATGATAATCTCAAATAATGAGTGATACCAGGTGATATGTTTTACACAAACTCTCATCTCACCATCGCTGCAGCCCTTGGATCCAAGTATTACTATGATTGCTATTTACAGGTGTGGAAGAGAAGGACAATTTCCGCTCTGCCCTCTTAGGATTGGTTGGAATAAACTGACAAAGACAATTAGCTGCAGAGAAGACAAATAGCCACATAGTGTCATTAATCACTAGCCCAACAGGATTTAGAAACTTGGACATCCCATTTCTATAGGGAAGGGGAGAAAGTAGAATGGGGGCAATCTTTAGGGCAATAGTAAATGACTTTTAGGGGAATTCAGTGAGATTACAGAAATATATAATGGCCTGGAATGAATTCCACTGGGTTTGGCAGAATAAACAATGGATCGTAAATTATTCTCTTTGGAATACTGAATGGGACTGAAAATAGAAGACAATGGTGTACCACAAAAGCCAGCCCAGGTGTGTTGACATACTTCATGCAGTCTTTCTTCCTGTGATATGAATTTAGTTAATGAAAACTTGGGGGGAAGAGACCAGAAGCAATTGTTTTCTTATTTGGTAGGTGGAACTTTAAGCAAACAAGGCGTTATCAGAGAACAGCCTCCTGCAGCATCTGCTGCTTCTGTGTTCCTTTAGTTAAAAGGAGGGGGTGCTGTGTACCAGGGTGTCAGAGTTGGAGTGACAGTCCTTGTTTCATGGGTGAGGAAACAGACAGAGAGATTAAACGATTTGCCTAAGATTACAATGCTAGTAGGAAATGGGACCCAGACAGACCCTAAAGCATTTGTCCCCAGTTGCCGCACTACAGGGCTTTACTAAACCTTATGAAGAACACAGATATAAAATAACCTCCACTAGACAGACAAGGAGACAGAAAATACGAGTGGAAGGGCTGAGTCTTTAAGGAACTTCTTATAACTTCTCGCTGGTATCTAGAGCCACAGACAGGAAACTCTATTTTCAAGAAAAGAAAGTTGCAAGTCACAAATCCAGAAAACCCTCTTGCAGACCCCTTAGCCACAACCTATCAAAGAGCAGGAACAGAAGAGGAGCAACTCCAGCACTGAAGTCCTGGAGTGCCTATTTCCTTATGAATGAAAGAGAACAGTATGTAAATAGAAGCTTTGCATAAGCCAGACATTGTTTCAAGTCCAGTTTATCTACACTATGAGTCACTTCCTTTTAAAGTAAGAATTAAAAGAGGTAGAGGCATATAATCATTACGCAGCACATACCTTCTTAAAGGACCTTTTCTTCTCGTTCAAAAATAAGAAGGCAAAGGGCTGCTCCTTTGACAAAACAGCAACACCATTTTGCATATCTCATTAGGCGAAGAGAAATGAACAAGTGAGATCTACAGGCAGATAAGTGACAGACGGGAAGCTGCAGGCCCAGCAGGGCTTAACCTAGCATTCATAAAGGACTCTGAATAACAAGAAGCCTTTGGGTGACTCAGTAAGATTTATCTCTTCCACATTAACCCCACATTATCCAAGGCAGCAAACATGTTGTGCTCATAAACCTTTGGAGGAAATCTTACAGTAACCCGAGGCCAGGGACTGGAAAAGGAAACAAACCACCAGATCACCTGTGACCTTTCAACAAAAGAATAGCTATAGTAGCATTCTGGGACAGCATTTTTTAATAAAAGGATGAACAAGAGAGTGAGTAGCCAATTCTTCATCCCAACACCTGCTGTAGGTCTGTACAGCCTCTGTGAGGGCTTATCAGGCTTGATTCATTTCTCAGGAGTTAAAGATTAGATTTGAAGAGTGAAGTAGGATAAAAAGCAAGCAAGTAAGTAGAAATGGAAACACATTTCTGTTGCTGTAAAAACTTTATCTGTTTTGGGCTGGGGATTTAGCTCAGCGGCATAAGCACCTGCCTTGCAAGCCGGCGGTCGTGAGTTCGATCCCCGGTACCAATAAAAATGAAAAAGACAAAAAAAAACTTTATCGGTCTGATTCAGCCTTTCTATGAATAGTCATACAGAAAGCAAAAACTTGGGAGACAAGAGTAGACAGAAGGAATCAAGTTTATGTAAAGCTCATCCTGAAGAAGACAGAGGGGCTTCTTTGCTCCTCCGATCTCCACACTGAAGCAGGGACACTCAGGCGCAGAAGGCCTTAACAGGGGGAAGACTACAGAGTGAGCAGGAGCGCTGCCTGCTGGGTGACACCTTTGTCCTCCAGGTGTGCGTTTCTTCTCTTACCAGACCTTTGCAAGAGACTTGAGCTCCTGCAGCTATTTAAAGAAAATCTAAAGAAGAGCTTCTCTTCAGTAAAAAAATTTTGGAGGGGCAAAGGGTAAAAGACGGAAGGCCAATTTCAAAAGATCCTCTGTGACAATACATGTTTCACGTATGAAACTACATCCAATGATGTCTCTGGTTCACCCAGCTCTTCCAGTGTCCATTTTTATAATGCTCAATGCTAAAGGGCCACCAGCACCAAAATTAAAAGGCCTTAGTATGTCCAACATAATGTAACAAAATTTTGTTGAGCATCTGCTATGTTATAATTAACACAGTGCTGGAGCAAAATAACTCATTTCTTTATTCACATGGAGCTGTGGCCCAATGGAAGGTACTTGTTGGAGCACAAGTATAATGTAGGAACACATTCATAAGATAGCAAGCTTATAGATATTCCATGATCAATTAGAAGTCTCTGAGCAAGTTTCTCTTCTGCTGTTTCTGCTCGAATTCAATTGATCTTGACGGTATCTAAGCCCAGCTGCATTTCTCTGATGAACAGTGAGTCAGAGTAATTGGCTATACTTTAAGGTATCCTGGGCTAATTCAAGGGCCCCTCCCCAGAATGTTCCTATATTAGGGTAACGCTTTCACTATGCTCGCTCTGTAAGGACCCCCTCCTCTTGTTCCCTGGGTGTTTCTAAATTATAATAAACAATTCCTTTGTTTCACGACTAGCCTGCCTGTCAATGTATGACTCAATGCAAGTAACCACTTATGTAATGTTTTGTCACTTACTTTGTACCTCCCACTTCTAAATTCTATATAAACTAAACTCTCCTAAATTCAGCAACGTCGCCTTTGAGGAAGGCGACTGGTGTGAAGATCCAACAGTCCTCAGTCCTCTAGTGCAAAGATTAAATGTTACCTTCTTATCTCCTCGGTGCAAAGAGTCTTCCTTTCTATTTGATAGTCTTCCTTTCTATTTGATACGGCTTGGGAATTTTCCTGGAACATTCTGACAAATTCAGAGGTGATTCCAATGAGCACGCTAAATACTTTAATTGGAAGATGAATGGTGGAATAGTTATTACAAAAGCGCAAGGAAGGTCTTAGGCAGTCAATTTGTCAGGGAGAATAATGTTCAACTGAGATATACATGACAATTTAGTGTCAAGCAAGGGAATACTCAGGAGAAAGACTGTTTTGATGCTGTGCTATGCAGATGAATTGAAATGTGTTCAGCTTATCGCATAAAAGAAACAAAACTCTTGTCATTCAAGAACAGGGTATTTTTCCACTTTTGATGCTTTATCAATCCTTTTCATGCCTTATGAAAATGGTAGTTCTTTGCTTCTTAAATGGGAATCTTGCCTCACTTTGCTTACTAGGTAACTTGTGAACCTGAAACAGACAAACTACATATAAGACTGCAGAGTGTTGGGAAGGCCTTCAATCCTAAAATTCATCCTGACTTGCTCATAAGTAGTATTCAGCATACTGGTAAGACTCAATATGTGACTATTACACACAAAAAATAAATTTAAGATAAATATATATAGGAACAAGTAAATGAAGGTTTAAAAAATGACTCCCTGCCCTGCACCCTCCCAGAACATCAAGAAGGAATAGCAATAATAACAGCTAATATTAATTATATGCTTGCTCTGCATTGGTCACTTTTTCCCAAACCTGTTAAATCGATTCACTCACAATGGAGTTTCTACTGATACCTCTTTTATATAGATGTGTTACCAAAGGTATAGGTAACATGCCCAAGGTCATACAACTAACAAGTGCAGAAGCAAGATTTGAACTCAGGCAGTTTAACCCTGAGTTTAGGAGCTACAATTAGTCAATCAGAGCAAAGCCAGCACCAACTCTGCATCATTGTAGCTCTGCCTCCAGCTGATTCTGTGCGGGCTGGAGGAGAAGTGGATGCACAAAATTTTATCAGAAACACAACTCTCCTATGGTCTATCTGTTAAATCCCAAAGGCTGTGTAGGGAAGAGAAAGGCTTTATCTCCCCTCTCTGAAGGTTGACTAATGAGTCTACGAAATAAACTGGCAATAGATTAACAGGAAATAAAGCATTTTAATTTTATTTATATGCATGGAAGTCTCAGAAAATGTGAAGCTCAGAGGAGAGCCATACAATCCAGCTTAGATAGCATAAAGTGAAAGGTTTTTGCCCCAGACAGTGTAGCCGATAAAGCCTTGGAGGCGGAACCAAGGGGCTCTATCTTCCCCGCCCCTTGGAATTTACCTGTGGTGTGAAATTAATACCAATGGGTGTGCATCACTATGCATCACTAATGCCCCTTAGGTACCACCCCAAACCTAAGCTACATGTATGCCCCCAAACCACGTGTCTGATGGAAAGAATGCCAGCCCCTGGAGACAATGTCAGACCCCGGAGGATCAGGGGGTCTCTCCCCACCTTCTTTAAATAAAGGTCATTATTTCATTCTTCTCATCTTTTGGACACACCAGAATCCTATCAAATGATGCCGTGACTCAGATCGGCAGGCGAGTGACTTCTGGAATCCACATTCCAAGTCCGCTGCTGATTCACATGAACCGAACTGCATCCTGGATTAATTCCTTACTTCTCAACACTCGGGAGCTGCTAAACTTGTCGCTGCTGATTTGCAAACAACACCGGTCTAATTCATTTACCACAGGTGAGCAACCTGGAGATTACTCGGTGCTGGGCCAGGCCCCACATGGGTTTCTTCCCGTTCCCTGGACTCGAGTGACGCTCTCACATCCTTAGACAGCCCAAGGCAGAGCCTTTCTCCATGGGCCAGGCCCCACACTGGAAGCTCTCACATCCTCTAGAGCCTTTAAGCTCTCACAGGCAGAGCTGTTACTGTAATCCACGGGAAATCCACTCATGTTTTTGGTGACAGCCAAATATCACGAGCTTTGGAACTAAATTACTGATTACCATTCGGTCTACAAGGTAAAGGTGACGATCTGAACTGGTTAGGCCACAGTCTGTTGCCTCACCTGACTGTGACTCTGTGGTCCAGGCCCCACACCAGATTTTATCTTGGGGACCACTTCCTGTCCCCCCAAAAACCATACCTATTTATAGCTTATCACACTGATGACAAGTTTATTAAAAACTCTATCTTTGGGCCTGTTTTAAGAATGTGTCCTTTCCCACTGCCCTCCAGGATGCCTCCCCCTCCCCACACTGAGGACAGCCTTTCAAAGCTTTCCCAGCATCCTCTCTTTCCTCCCCGCTCCCCCTCCCCCCACCTCATGCCACTTTCCCGCTGGGATGGGAGAGGTGCACCCAGACAATGTAGAGAAAATACACGCGCGAACTGCTCTGGGCCCTCATGCCACGTGCCAGCTCCACGTACGCCCTGTGCACACCCTGGCCCCACCCTCCATGCTCCATCCCTGCCCTGCACCCTCCCAGTGCCCCAGCTCCACACAGGGTCCCAGCTCCGCACCACGCCCTGCTGTGCACCCCACCCGCCACTCTGCAGGCACCACCTGCCCTGCGAGCTCCACCCTCACCCTGGGCGCCTCGCCCACCCTCCATGTTCCACCCCTACCCTGTGCGCTACCCGCATTTCCAGAGCAGTCCCAGCCCCACCCCCAAGCACAAGCACCGCTCTGAGCACAAATACAGGCCACCAGCAGCTCCGCGGCTCAGAGATGCTATTTCTTGGTCTACACCAGCTTTTTTTACATTCTCAAACCATTTAATCAAGGTTTACTTGGGTTAAATAAACCGAGATTAAAAGACAATAGGCAAGACTTTGACTGATAAATGGGGAAGTGGCCACCTGGGAATTTTACCAGTCTTGTTTATTAATTAAAACCTTCAATAATCTCCGTAGCCTTATGTGAGATACCTCAACTAAAGTTCATATAGCTAAGACATTTCATTGTTGCTGATCTGATGGTGTATTCACACTTTCAAATATAAAATTTGGATTGTTTCTGCTGCCTTTTTCTTGTGTTCCAGCCATGACAAATGTTTTCTTTCAGATCCAGACACACGCTTAGAGATGTTTCACAAATTTTTTCGGTGTTCAGATGTTAAAAATGCTCATGATTGATATTAAGCTTACTGCCTATATTGTACTGTACTGTTATCAATCTTCTACATGTTTAACAACTGAAATTAAGAGGTAATTACAAATTCCTTTTTCTATAAACC